ACACACACACACACACACACACACACACACACACACACACACACACACCTGTTCATTTCATATAAATAAAACCCTCAAGGCATTCATTTGCTTCTCTCTCTCTCTCTCTCTCTCTCTCTCTCTCTCTCTCTCTCTCTAAGCTATTTATCTGCTACATTGTTTCAATTAGAAGCATTTTCTCTGTTAAGCACCAGAATAATGAGTGATTTCTTAATCCCTGCACCATAATATAATTACTTAGTTTTCCATTTTGTCTTGAATCTTTAAAGCTAATTGAACATCAAAATTAATGAAAAGACACTGAGTAGAAGGCCAGTTTTGTTCCCGCTTAGAAGTAATTAATCTTTTACTTCCTGCTTCCCCACCTACATTCTTTCAAAAGCACAAATAATTTTCCTGCCAGAAACCTCCTAAATCTCATAGAATTCACAATATACACTGACAAGATGCAGGAAATTGGCTCAGTCCCAGAAAGTGGGTGACATGTTTACATGCTCAAATTCACAGTTTCCTTTATTTTTTTTTTCTTCTGCTCTTTTTGATCTAAAGTCTGTTTTGAGTAGTGGCATGCGCAGTCTTCTTATTAAAGGCCCAAATATAATGTCAATTCCTGGCAAATACACGCTCCATTATAGCAGTCCACAATGGGCTTTGAATTATTGGCCCGACTTAACAACCTTCAATGGACCATTTTCTTTGTCCTCTGTGGTGAGGGATGCTGATAAGGTAGAAGAAACAGAAAAGGGAGAAACTGAGGAGAGCAAGATGCAAATTGTCAAAGGCTATTATTTCCAACATGGGAGTTTGGTCTTTGTTTACAGTTGAGTGACATAATGTAATGAAGAAAGCAGAGAATTAAAAGCTAAAAACCGAACCTGGAGTTCCAATCAGTGGAAAACACACACCCCTCCTCCATCGAAGACTTAGCTGCCTTCCCTCTGTCCTTCCAGCTTCTGCTTTCCACCTGGAGAGCCTCTCTGCCATAGGACCCATCCTCCTGCCTACCTCAGAATCTTATCCCTACCTCTTCCTCCTCTTTTTTCTCTTTCAGCCCTTCTCTTTCTCCTCCTCATCTTCCTCCTCCTCCTTCTCCCTTTTACCTAAGGAGTTCTTGTTTACTTTGCCCTAGCGTGTGCGTGCACACACACACACACACACACACACACACACACACACACACAAAAATTGCAAAGATCAAAGTATTGTAGAGACCACTGTCAACTAGGTATGATACTGAATGTCAGAGATCCCCCCCCACACACACACACACCACAACACACATATAACATACCGGAGCACACACATTTTATTTACATTATCTGTTTTAAAAAGATTAGCCTATATTAAACAAGGTAACTCAGGGTCAGAAAGGCAAATACCTTATGTTCGTGTGTGTGTGTGTGTGTGTGTGTGTGTGTGTGTGTGTGTGTGTGTCCATCCGTCCGTCTGTCCTAGTCTCCTTTAAATATGCAAATCCTGGTGAAGGTAAACACAGTAAAGACCAAGACACTAGAAGCAGCCCAGAGGACTGGATAAAAAGGAGGCTTTAAGAGAGAGAGGTGGGGAAGACAGGAGAACAAAATGGAAAGAGGGGGTGCCGGGGATAAAAAGGTCCAGGGGGGAAATGGAGTGGGGTGCAGGGAGATGAACGGGGCCAAAATTAAACATGTAGGAAGGCTCCATATGAAATTCCCACTGCCTTTTTATCCTGCCCGTTTGTTCACCGTTCTTCCGTGCCTTTGACTTCTCTCTCTCTCCTGGATTATTACGTATGTTCTAAAAATCCCATTTACTGCTACGGTCCCCCTCCTAATACTCCCTGGCTTGACTGGCACTCAGAAAATACACAGAGTGCAAGCAGTCGAGCTTTATTCAGTGCCCCGATTTCTTTAGTTCTCACTGTTAAATACTCCTTTGAGAGGACTGAACACAGTATTAAGAGTTTACACCAAGAAAAATGACAGAGCTGACTTTGCATGGAGTAGACCTCCCCTGACTTGGGCTCCATGGTGCCAGGTCCTCTTGCTTTTCTACTCAACAGCAAGTTGTTTTTCTCATCAGCCAATTATTTCCCTTTTGATCTGTTACAATTGTGCATAGTTACCTTTTTATTTTTTTTTAATTCAGAGTCTTGATGTGTGGCTCTGGATGATCTAGTGTCCACTATATAGGTCAACTTGGCCTTTAACTCCAAGTAATCTTCTTGCCTCAACTTCTTTGAGAGAGAGAGAGAGAGAGAGAGAGAGAGAGAGAGAGAGAGAGAGAGAGAGAGTATTTTTAGGCAGGGTCTCACTGTATATCCCAGGATGGCCCAGAATCTACTTTACAGTCCAGATTAGCTTTGAACTCATGGCAGCCCTCCTTTCCTAGCTTACAAGGGCTGAGATTACAGGCATGCCCCACTGTGTTCAGAATATTGTGTTTCTCTATGCTTTAATCTTAAAGTCTCCATTCTTTTCCCGATACCATATTTTCTCAATAAGGTTTGGACTTACCAATTTCCTGAATCAAAATTCTCTCCACAGTGCAGCATATATTAACCACCGTGATTATAACCGTCATAAAACAAAAGCAGCATTCACGAAAAGAGGGCCTAGTCTAACTCACTCACCTTTGCCCCTGTAAATCTCCTTTTTTTTTTTCTTATTAAGAAATTTTCTATTCATTTTATATACCAACCACAGATCCCCCTCTCCTCTCTCCTCCTGCCCCACAGCCTCCCCCCTCCCCACAACCCACCTGCCATTCCCTCCTACAAGAATGCAAGGCCTCCCATGGGGAGTCAGCAGAGCCTGGTACATTCAGTTGAGGCAGGTCCAAGCCCCCTCCGCTCTGCACCAAGGCTGTGTAAGGTGTCCCACCATAGGCACCGGGCTCCAAAAAGCCAGGTCATGCAGCAGGGACAGATTCCAATCCCACTGCCAGGGGACCCTTCAACAGTTCAAGCTAGACAACTGGCCCCTGTAAATCTTCCTTTTGCCTCTTTCACATTTCCCTTCAGAATCACCCTCCCTGCCAGTTACTTTGGATTCCAGAAACCCCACTTCTACCGAATAAGGCTTTTTATGAAAGAGATCCAAAGTACCGGAAGCAACAGTAAGTCTTAAGAACAGCTCGCACCGTAAGATTGCCCCTCCCGAGTGTAAGCAACTACCCCAAGAGAGGAAGCAAGAATGCACTCCTCCCAGAGCAATCATCACGTGGCACGGGGCTGCCCCTCCATCAGTGACAGCAGCAAGTCCTTCAGCGGCTGCATCTCCAGAGCCCAGCCTCAGAAGCAGTCCTGAGATAATGAACAGCCAGACCTGGGCCCTGACCCCAGTTCCCTGCGACGTCAGCCGTCCCTACCCGTGGCCCTCGACTCTGTTCCTGTTTTCTGCAAAATTTAACTTTTCCTAGCAACCCCTCAAACACAGCTGGGGGTCATGGTGTCATCAGAGGCGGGGAGATGTAACCACAGTAGCCTGAACGGTTCCCTGTCTTAGGGTCCTTAATGACACCCCAGAAAGGGATTTGAGGATGCATCTGAGTGGGGCAAGCCTAGCAGATTAATAAGTGGAGACCAGAGAGAGAGAGTAAATGACTTGGGGTTTCAGCTCGGGTTTCGAGAGAGCTGCCTGTGGGTGTCTTCACAGCGGCCCCGTGTACATGATTCTGTGGGTTTCTGAGTTACATCGTTCAAAGGATATAATTTACTACCATGTTTAAAGTTTAAGCAAAGCTTAAAAATTAAGTACAAAACTATGTGCTGATTATTTAATTTTAAATTGTGAGGCGGTTTTCTGAGGCGTGTTATTTAGGTTTAGGCGCGGGGGAGGGGGGGGGGAAGAGTAAAAGTGCTGATACAGCTAAACTCAAAGTCACAGCCCTTTTGCTTGTTTTGAACACCCCTCTGTGTGCTGTCGTTAGGAAAGTGGGTTTTGTCTCTATAGTAATTTAGATTTTTTTTTCCAGTTGTGTGGAGATTTCTGACCCCCAAGCGGGTTTCAGAGGGAGGGTCTTTTCTCCCTTTCCCAGTGCTCTTTACATGCCCCATTCGACGGGGCCTCTCTGTCTTATCAGCGATTCTTCCTCTCCTTTCTCCACAACTTGTCTCCCTGACAGGGACGTTTGGATGGGTGATAGCACCGAGTCCTGGGGGTATCTGGGGCAAGGACTTTTGCCCTGACATTCCATAACATTTTTTTAAAAATACGTTTTGAGGAGAGAATGGCAGTTTTCTGTGGATCCTTTTATTTTTGGTTAACTCACCATTAGTCCTATCTCATTTTGTTTGGCTCCCCATCTCACTGAAAATGTTGACTTGAATGTAAAATAAGAGTAGAGGAGATTTTTTTTTCCTAAGGGGAAAAAAAGGAAAGAAAATTCCTATTAACTTTCTTTAACTTTACGAAAATAGACTTCATAGTCTCATTTGTGAATATCTACTATGAAAGAACCCAGTATGTGGTTCTTAGTGTATAGCAAAGGTTTTTTGTTTTGTTTTTATTTTTTGGGTTTTTTTCATCATTTACAACTAAAAATGTCATTTAAACTAACTTTTTTTCTTAAAAATGGTGGAGGGGAGAGAAAGAACAGAAAGAAAGCCAATTAAGCTTATTTTAAGTTCTTAAAATTTAATTTCCTTTTTTAAAGTAAAAATTTAAAAATCGCTAATTAACACTGTATTTCTGTTAAATAACTGACTGAAACCAAAGTGATATTTATTTTTATAAGGTATAGTTGATGGATTTAATTAAAATTTTCAACTTGATTTCATTAACACTATTAAGAACACAAAGACATTATGAATACTGCATAGAAAATTACCAACATTAATAAGCCAAAGCACTGAAAATAAAAATATCATTTTTATATATGCATGTAAGTATACATTTGTATGTATGCACATGCATTGTAAGGTTAACAAAGTATTTCTTCTCAGCCGGGCGGTGGTGGCATACACCTTTAATCCCAGCACTCGGGAGGCAGAGGCAGGCGGATCTCTGTGAGTTCGAGGCCAGCCTGGTCTTAGTGAGATCCAGGAAAGGTGCAAAGCTACACAGAGAAACCCTGTCTCGAAAAAC